ATACTCTTTATAGAAGGACACAATAACTAATTAAAAATGCCAAGAACTAAAAAATGCTTTGAGTACCAGCTATCCATTTTCAAATTTTAATTGACTGACTTCTGGAGTCCTCTATTGTAACACATCACTGTAAACATACCTTTAATCATAACATTTGATGGGAAGAAGTGGATGGGTAATGTTTCTGGTGAGCCAGTCCTTGATTTTATCTACACTTTCTCCTTAAAAGGTTCCAAAATTCAAATAATGTAAAACTTCCCCATCCTCATTTCTAAAACTTATGCACTGACAAACCTCTTTTGCAGCAGGTGCAATCTCTTATTTCAGGAAGCTTGTGTGTCTCACAGGAGAGCATTACTTCTGCATAGCAATAACCCCAGCTACACACACACACACACACACACACTCACACACACACACACTGATCACACAATGCACTTGAGTTTTCCTCTTTCCTGAAAAACAATGGGTCATAAATATATTATACTGTGATTCTCTTCTATGTTCCTCCTTGGTCTCATCTTTTCACTTTCCCCAACAGACTTATAATTTCTTCTCACTGGAGAGTGTCAAGATGCAGTTTGATTCTACCTCTTGGGCATTGCTGTGGACAGATCTAGCTCTATTTTTAGACAACTGCTAATATTTGAGAGGCAAAAGAAGTATGAAATGGAGAAAAATCTATTCTTAATTATAATAAATAACATATTAATGGTAACTTCTGTCACAGACTGTGTACGCAGTATGATATGACCTCAAGTGAAATACGTTATTGCAACCAACTCTTTGACCGCTGTAATATATATGTAAATTAAAAATTTTAATATATTTTTCTGCTGTTAAGAATAGTGATAAAACTACACAAATAACTTTCATATTTAATTATTAAGATGAAATTACTTATTCTTATTAATATGAAATATTCAAATTAAATTATATAAAATTCAAATTATGCATTAGTATGAAAAATTGTTTACTTACTTCTACCAAAAGTAAGCATAATGAAATTAAAACTTGAAGCATATTTTAAGATGGTGAAGGAACTGGCTGAGGAACCTAAAGTTTATTTTTAAAAAAGAAATGTCAGCATATCTGGATATGTATAGTTTTAATGGTAGAAATGAGAAATCACAGGGAAGAGAAAATTCTCTATAATAAGGAATTTCTCCTTACATATCCTGGCTTATACATTTTGCTTATAATTCTCCTGAATTAGCAGTTCAATTACTGTTCAGAGTTTTCAACAAGTATTTTCTTTTGTGAGTTTCTGCTAGTATAAATTGTGACTTCCTATATTTACCTCAATCTTTTGAAAATTGGACATAGCAGATTGCTCTGTGTCTTCACCTTTCATACTGATACAAGAAGAATCACTTTTGTAGTCTCTTCAGTGTTTCAGTTGTCCCTATAGGACCATAAATTTCAATATCTTTATATGAGAAACTGGAAACTAGAACTTGCTGTCAGTTTATTTCCTATCTGATCATTTCTAAAACATTATTACTCTAAATTAATTAAACAAAGGGACTGCAGTACAATATTTAAATGCATTCATATAGAGTATTTTATCAAATTCAACAACTCTATTACCCTTTATTATTTTGGAAGTACATAATTCATTTGTTTATAGAGCTCCAGGGTTATTCAGACCTATTGGAGGTGCTGGACTGAGATGAGAATTTATTTGCCTCAGTCAAGAATTTCATTCCAGAAGCTACTATTTGGAAGTCAGTTGCTGTGGGAGTCTGGACAAAGCAGCCTGCAGGAACCAACTGTCCTGTAATGCAGAAATGGGATGGTAAATTGCAATGTGTGAATCTGAAAACAAACCAATCCAGGACAAGTGCACATCACAAATACATCCATTGCCTTTTGGCAATGTAATTGAAAGAAAAGGTTATATAACAGGAGGAATCTGAGAGTCTATGTATTAGTTTTTGTTAGTGGTTACTTCATGTATCCTTTCAGAAACACTTTTGGACAGATAATCCAAATATGTACAGGTTTTAATTTTCAAATTATATATATATATTATATACATATTGTATATATATATATCAGCTGTACATGCATAGGTGAATGTGTGTTATCTACTTTAGAGGTAACTGTAGTTAAACACTATCTATTTTTTAAGAAGTAATAGAAATTCTACGTACAGAGAATAATTTTTGTGATTTTGTTTTGTGTGTGTGTATGTGCATTTTGAATCATTTTATTTTGGTGCTACTGGAGTTGGAACTCAGGGCTTCACACTTGCAAAACAAGAGCTCTACTGCTTGAATCACACCTCCAGCTCATTTTGCTCTGGTTATTTTGGAGATGGGGTCTTGCAAACTATTTGCCTTGGTGGAACTTGAACTGCAGTCCTCTGGATCTCAACCTCTTAAGTAGCTAGAATTACAGGTGTGAGCTGTGAACCATCATGGCCAGATTTGAACCATTTCTTAAAACAGAAAATGTCATCACAATTCTCTCTCTCCTTTTACTTTGGATAGCAGAGCCCACTTCCTGCCTACCATTTTCTCTTTTCTAGCAGGCTTTAAGTAAGTTTGTATATTATTAGAAATCCCATTTTGACATTCATGTGTCTATATATATATAAAGAAATGTATCTATTTACACATGTGTTCAAAACACAGGTTTGCCACTAACAAAAATTTAATTAATTAAGGAGAAATAATTTGAGAACTTGTCAAAACAGTTTACAAATTTTTAGTAGCATTGTTGATAGAAAATAGGTAAATACCCAGAAAACTCCTTATAAAATTCATTATGTTTATCAAACTTCTGATCCTTAGTCAGATCTTATTGCAGGAAAATGCAATCTTTGTGTTTGTTTCAAATGTGCTTTTTCAATTCAACACTAAAAAATTATTCTTGGTTTAATTGTGGATGATAGAAATGAAGGACTTTTCACTGTCTGGAATTTAAATTACCACCTTTCCATTGTGGATACCTTTATAACCGTGTGTGTGTGTGTGTGTGTGTGTGTGTGTGTGTGTGTGTGTGTGTGTAAATAGATGGTGCTGTATAACTGATTGCCTTCCAGAAGAAATGGTGATTCCTTTCTCTCCAGAGATGTTCCCCTGTCAATATAGTTTTTGAAGTTGTATAAAAATGAGAACTCCAGAGACACCTCCTGAATAAACAAGCTAAACACCATGGATTTAAGATTGTTTGAGTCAAGAGATTATGGACAGAACCTGTTCTAACACATTGACATGGCTCCTCCACTGGCTGTACTGAAATTGCAATCAATGTTGAATTTTTTATCAAAATCATCAACAGCCTGTGCAGTTGGGTTATCACTCTTCCTGGAGGTAAGGTTTCTCATATTTAAAGTAAAAGGAAGAGAAGTTTGTTTCAAAAGTTAAGTTAGTCCACAGCTGGTTCACTTTTTCCATGAATAGCAGGGGTTTTTTCATGTATAATCCAATAATTTCATAGTTATGGAAAATTGACTACTTTTTTCTCTTTGGAAGACAAAAATCCCTTTGTTCTCATTTCAATTAACAGAAAAGTAAAAGGGGAAGAATAAAGCTTTATTATGGAGTCTTATAAAATACCAAATATTCATGTCACATGCATATATAAAGAAAAAACTTATGATAATGCAGACTTATACAAGTAAAGTTAGGCCACTCTTCCATTGACTTTCTTTCAGTAGATACTGAAACATTCAGAAACATAATCCTTTCTGTCCTATTTTTACTCAATATTAAGGATTATTATGCCAACTAAAGTCAATGTCAATGCTTTGGCATCAGAGCATTCAGTGTTTTTAGTTACCAACAAAATACCAAATAGATGTTAAACAATGTGACCACTAGGATGAGATTCTTTCTTTTGTTTTAATTCTAAGAGGATGACTATTTTCTACTGAAAACAGATAATTGTTGCATCTTGGCAAAATTTGAACATGCCACAGATGCCAAAGAAAATAAGACACACATTCTCCTTAAACTGGACTATGTAATAATTACCTGAGACCATATGTAATGGTCTAGGGTTCTTGGAAACATGCGATTTCTAGTTAGGATACTTAAGGGAAAATCAGACATTCTCATTGCAGAAGCTTTTGGCAAGATTAGTTTTATAGATTTAAATTCCATAGTTTATGAATCAGCTGTAGTCATTAAGGGCCCCTAAAATTAATTAATCAGAAGTAAAGATTTTCATAACTAGATTTATTAACTCTTTTTAAATTAATAGTTTGAAGTACATTGTATAATCTATGGAATTAAGGATTATCAATGTATTGTAGTAACTGGTTGAATTCATGTACTCATGTAATAACGCCATATTAAAGTCTGTGGACTAGAGGGTAGCACCAGGAGAAATAGCTTGCTAATTGAGAATTATACATTACATGTAATATTTATCAAGCAGACCAATGACTCAAATAAAGAGATTAGAGAAGGTTTCCTTAATTCTATTACTAGTTGTATTTTCAGTAATTGATTTGTTTCACAGGAAAATAAGGAATATTAATTATAATCATATATATCTCTTCCTACAAAATATGCTAATTAATATTAATCTTAATCTGTCTCCAACTGCATAAAACTTGTCTCTCAAAGTCATTTCTTCTCTGTGCATTTTCAATTTATATGTTATTATATGTATTTTCTAACCATAATGAATCTATGTATATAGTAACTATTTTAGTTTCAATTCTTTGCTTTTCCATAGTATGTACATTGATGGCTTATGTATTTCATTTTCAGATAATTTGGCATATGTCTCAAACATATGCCAAATGTTTGAGAATGTGATGTGTTATTTGTTTGTTGGTTCCATAATATACATTTGCCACTTTTTCACAACAACGAGTCATAAGTTTTGAATTATTTTATCTCTGTATGTAGACACTATTAACTCCAGTATGAAAATGCTCCAGTTTTACTGGGTTTATTTTTCTACTATTTATGGCATATGATTTTCTTCTCACAGGAAAAAAATAGGAATTATCAAGAAAGATGACTAACAATTAAGAAACAATGAAAGGGATCAATTTTAGCAACCCGGGAGGTTTTATCTTACTGGGTTTTTCTGACCAGCCCCACCTGGAGATGGTTCTTCTTCTGGTCATCTCTATTGTCTACATTCTGACACTGATGGGGAACACAGTGATCATTCTCGTGTCATTTCTGAGCCCCAAACTCCGCACACCCATGTATTTCTTCCTCTGCAATCTCTCCTTTCTAGACCTCTGCTTCACTACCAGTATTGTTCCACAGATGCTTTGGAATCTCAAGGGCCCTGAGAAGACCATCACTTATACTGGTTGTGTGATCCAGCTATACATTGCTTTGGGGCTGGGCTCCACAGAGTGTGTGCTCCTGACTGTTATGGCTTATGACCGCTTCAGTGCTATCTGTAGACCCTTGCACTATGGTGTTATCATGCACCCAAAGCTCCTCCTGCAGCTAGCAGCTGTGGCTTGGATCAGTGGTTTTGTAGAGTCTACAGTTCAGACCACCCTTGTTTTCCAATTGCCTCTCTACAGTCATCACAGGGTGGATGATTTTATGTGTGAGGAACCTGCCCTGATTAAAATTGCCTGTGTGGACACAACTTTCCTGGAAAATGAGCTCTCCATAGCTACTGTCCTCTATGTGGTTCTACCTCTGGGTATTATTCTGTTCTCTTATGGATGCATTGTTAGGAGTGTACTGAGGATAAAATCCACTGAAGGAAGGAGGAAGGCATTTGGGACCTGTGGGTCCCATCTGATTGTTGTGATTTTGTTCTTTGGGACTACAATTTCTGTCTACATCCAACCTAAGAGCAAGTACACACAGAATCACAGAAAATTACTCACCCTCTTCTACACTGTGGTGACACCATCACTTAATCCTCTGATATATACTTTGAGAAACAAAGATGTTAAATGGGCAATCAAAAGGTTGCTGGCAAGAGACTCAAGTTAGGGAGAAATATGAAACACACCCACACCATGTCTCAGACTTAGGCATTACCTAATTATGGTTTCTCCTTTTATTTTTGAGTTCAACAGCTTAATCTCCTTAATAAAAGTAAATGATAAATTTCCTTCAACAACATCCTACCATCACTTTAAGTTTGTCTTATTCTCCTTTCTGGAAATGTTATTTAATCTCCTTTTTTGCTATTCCATAAAATTTCTATAAATAAATTGATATTTATAGGTAGATGGTTATGTGTATATATTACACATTCATAAATCTTAGAGTTGTTACTTTAGTGACTAATGATGTGACTGACACCCATGACAAATCTGCTTTCTCATCTTAGAAGTTCCTCTTTTCCTATGGAAGTAGAAGTAAAGGTTATATCATAACTGCACAAGTATGATTTTACCTGAGAATACTTCCTATTGTGTAGTAGGTCTCATGATGACAGTACCATAGGCAGTGTATATTCTGTTTAATGTTAATTTTAAAGTATGAAGGCCTAGTGGAACACTACCTGTATGTAACTTTTTTTTTTTTTTTGCCTTATTTGGAGGATGTTGACTTTTGTTCTTTACAGCAGAGGTCTCATCACCAGCGTGAACAGGGCCATTGACTTGACTGGGAGCAACTGGGGATTAAGAAAAAAGCAAAGATAGATATAGAGCAAAGCTGAGGCCGGGTGGGTTCAGCACTCCTGATGAGAGATTCTGGCGATCCCCTCCACCTCCAAGTGCATTTATTTATACAAGCATGTGTGGGAAAGTGGGGTGAAATGCAGGTTGAGTTCTCATGGGTCCAGTCGCATAGGTGGCAGGAACAGCACAGCTGTGGTATATTGTTATTTAGTACAGACTATCCTGACTAGGTCGGCGTGTCCTGTTCTTCTTACAAGGCAGCCTTGCTGAACCTTGCCTCCCCTTGTCTGGGTTCATGCCTATCAGCTAAGAGGCCTTTGACAGAGCCATGCTCATGTCAAGTTCTATTCCCTCTGCCTCAGTCTTTCTCTTGCAAGACAGCCTTACTGAACCTTGCTCACTTCCTTCATTCTGGGACCTTGTCTTCTCAGCATAAAGGACCTTGATGTGACAAGGTTTCTTCTCAGTCTGTTCATTTACTGGTCTCCCACACAGAAGCATCTGGGATTTAATATACCCAGACTTTTCTTCTAAACTCTTTAACTCATAGAGGAGGCTGTAAAGGGAGATTAACCTGAGACTGAATATTGATAGATAGGCAGACACTGATAAGATATCCAAGGTAACTCTCCTATATTGCTCTTGTCAGCCTAAACTAGCTCTCAGTCCCTTTTGATCAAGCCTTTAGATCTAAACCTGGACTCCAAGAGAAAATACAAGAGCACATTTGCATGTATTGTCACTAAATCTAAATATTTAAATTTCACAAACGTAAACAGTTTTACAAATAACAAAAATGTCTTTATCATCTATATATTTTTATTTAAGTTACAGTTGTACAGGGTTTGTAAAGTTATTTCTCTTCATGTTAAATATAAAAAGGTTTTATTCACTCAAATAAGATGCTCAATAATTTTGGCAATTTAAAAAAATTTAAGTATTTGCCTCGTTTTCCAAATAATTACAATATTCACATATAAAACATTACATTGATTCTTATTGGTTTTACATACTGTGTTATTATTTAATGTTATTTCATAAAAATGTTTTTGGTGTGATGATAGATTTATTGCTGTAATTCAGTACATCCTATTTGACAAAAGTTATGATCCTGGAGTTCCTTGGCAAAAGTGTAGTCTCTACAGCTTGATGTAAGTTTTTGTATAAGTGAAGGACATTATGATTAAAAAATAAATAAATAAAAGTTAGCTGGGAGCCAGTAGCTCATGCCTGTAATTCTACTACTCATGAGGAGAGATCAAGAGGATCATGGTTCAAAGCCAGCCCAGGTAAATACTTCATGAGACCTGATCTTAAAAAACCCATCACAAAAAAAAGCTGGTGGAGTAGCTCAAGGTGTAGGCCCTGAGTTCAAACCCTAGTGCTGCAAAAAATAAATAAATAAACAAAAGTTATAACAATATAAGCATGGAAAGAAAATTTGCATGTAGAAAAGAACCCTTTATTTGGAATTATATGATGTCTCTCCACATCAAAGAAAAACTTAATAAAGTTACAAACTTGATCTAATCTGATTCTGATGGCATATTTGTAGATCTGTTCTCAGTAAATGAAAACAAGACTGGAGAGTTTTTTTTATGAGTGTATTTTCTCTTATTTGCTTTTGCTCTTATCTGAATGATCACATTTTCTATCATTTCAAAACAGCTTGCTAGGTGGGGGAAGGGGGCAGGGTGGAGAAATGACCCAAACAATGTATGCACATGTGAATAAATAAAAAAGTTAGCTTGCTATCATGAAAAGATTTTTTTATATATACTTACGATAGCCACAAAGCAAAAATCAATATTAGACAATTTTTTGGTATATTTTTTCAGGCTGTAGACTTTCTGGAGAAGCCTAAACAAATTACTTTTCATCAAGCTCTTCATAAGAGCTTATGTTTATAGGATTCTATAGCATCAAGAATTTTCACATGACTTTGAAACTATTTGGCACAACTAACAATTTTTTTGCATTTTCACATTACAAAGTTTTGCTCTAGTGTGCATTCTGACATGTGGACAAACACTAGGTTTTTCCCATCTCCTCTGTTACAGGTTTCTCTCCATATGGTGTTCTGTCATATCTTTACACTCAGCTAAAATGACTAGACACATGCCCACATGCCTAGCATAGATGCAAGGTCTCTCTACTCTTCATTCCCATGTTTGCTACAATGTTCATATGATAATGAAGTCTTTCCAAATTCTTTAGTCAGAATTAATCTCCCATGAGAGTTCTTTCCAGCATGAAAAAGTAGCTGAACTGACTGATGCCTTCTCACATTTCTTATACAAATGAATATATTAGTTATTTTTCTCAATTATTAATGTTAAAGAATAATTTAAATATAGGTAAATAACTCTAGGTAAATATAGAAAGAAGTTGAGTGGGTACTAAAATACCATATTTGAATGAAATTGGAGAACAGGAGGGCAGAACAGTTTCTTCTGGTGGTGGGGGGGTTGATACCAGTGGAAGGGGGTAGAAGTGTTGAAATGGTAAAGGAGAGTGAATATGGTGCAAGTACTGTGTACACATGTTTGTAAATGGAAAAATTAAACCTGCTGAAACTATTCCAGGAATGGGGAGAGGGAGGATGAAGGTGAATGATGGAGGAGGTGAATTCAATTGCAAAATATTTGATGTATTTTAAGAACTTTTGTAAATGCCACAATGTACCCCTACCCAGCATAACAATAAATTTTTTAAAATCCTCAGCACAAAGAAAAAAAAAGAATCACATTAGTGAAGAAAAACATGATCTAGTAAGAAGTTATTGATAAGAAAACTTAGGAACTATTCCTTCAAACCTTGCATTTCTTTGTTAATAAAATGTTTTGACCGACATTAATAATTATAATTGTACTCACATTTAAGTTAAATTTAATTTTTGAATTAGGATAGTCAAATACTCAATAGGCAATATGGTTGCTTAAATATTTTTTCAAGTAATGAATGTAAAATTAATAAAAATGATATTTTCATTCCCTCATAAAGTAAAAATCTTAATATTTTCTACACTATTATTCATTATAATTTTAGTAAATATTTTAGCTTCTAGTTTGTTTTAAGTTCATTATATCTAGTATTCCATGAATTCATAGGAAGTAAGTTCCAGAAGCTCAGGCTCCTTCCATAGTTCTTTCACCATGTTCTTCTCTGGGTGGAACTGGCAAACACAGGTGCCTTGCTTTCTGGATTTCTTATTTTTCTGATCATTTTTCTTCATGCATTTCAGGAAGCTATCTTGGCTTAATATCCTCAATACTTATATTAATTCAATTGGCAAGAACCCTGTCCTTAACTTGTTTGTTTACAACAATCTCAATTGTATGCTGGGTAACGTTGTAGACACTTCCAGTTTTGCCAAGGTAATAACTGTGGGGCATTGCTTTTTAAGCAGCATTGTTTACCTTGATGTCTATAATATCAACTTACTTGTAGATTTGCATATGTGTGGACAAAGCAATAACTCCAGGTTTTATTAATTTTTTTATTCATTTATTCATATGTGCATACGTTGTTTGGGCCATTTCTTTTCCCTACCCCCACCCCCTTCTTCTCCTCCCCCCCCCCCCACTTCCAGGCAGAATCTGTTCTGCCCTTATCTCTAATTTTGTTGAATAAGAAGTACAAACAATTATAAGAAAGACAAAGCGTTTTTGCTAGTTGAGATAAGGATAGCTACACAGAGAGATTCCTAGAATTGCTTTCATGTTTACATGTGTTTTATTCTAAGTTGATTCATCTCTAACAGTCTTTTTTTCTAGTTCCTGATCCCCTTCTCATATTGACTTCTGTCACTATGAAATTTCTGTATTTAACTCCAGGTTTTATAAAAGACCTAAAGAACATATATCATGTACTTCTCCCCTTTCTATTTGTTTTCATTACTTTAGAGAATTACTGGAAGATGGAAGCTCCTTTAGTAGACTTTTTATTGGAATAATGCATGCATAAAGAAGACAACTCATATGTGTAAAACTCTATGTATTTCGAAAAAGAAATAAATTCTTGTTGCTAGCATACACATCAAAAAACAAAACATTATTAGCAAAGTAGAAGACTACCTGCCAGTTCCCTTTCTCTTTTTGCTCTCTCTCAGTAGATATACTTGATATATATCATATGCACATATATACATACATATGTATCTGAAATAATGATGTTATCAATCAGCTGCTGGAGATTCTTTTGCTCTACTCATCTAGGAATCATTGTGACTCAGGAGAAGTTCTTCTGGGGTGAACAATCTTGGACCCTTCACTGCCCAAGGCCTAGGGCTTGACTGTCAATCACAGAAATTAATAGCTCCAAGTCCTGAGAGTTAGAAGGCCTATTGCTCCAGGTTTTTGG